AGGCCCCAGGGCAAGCGGCGCGGCCCGAGCTGAGGTGAGGGCAGCCTCCGGGCAGCCCCTCTTGCCATCCTGCTGGCCTTCTCTACAGGGGCCTCTTGGCAAAGGGATGAGCAAAAGCTCCAGGCAGGGCTGACCCTTGTCACCACCGTGGTGCCTTCCAGACCCCTGGGGTACCTGGCCCTGGTGCCCCCCAGGACATCTCTGCTGGCTGCCATGCAGGTCCAGGAGGTCCCCTGGATGAGTGTGTTCACCCAGGCTGGTGCACACGTGTGGCTGGACAGGCCTTCCTTCCAGTTCCTGGTCCTGCATCCCAGCCTAGGATGGCTCTAGGGTGGTTTTTGCCTTTTATATCTTGTATTTACCCAGCAAATCCCTACATTCATAGCCATGTGCAATGAGGAGTGTTGGTGTCTTTTCATAAGCAGGGATTTCACTGCCTGGACACCTCTCTCTGGTCCTTGTATGTGAGTTTAAAGTCTGGCTCAGGGAGAGCTTCTGTATGAGACCCAGCACAATGTGATGGGGTTGCACTGAGGCTGCAGCACCATCTCCTCTTGGGCAGGGGTGGCTTGGTACCTGTCAGTGGCACAGGGATGGGGTCTGGCACATATGCCCTTCTCATGCTCCCTGCCTGCAAATCAGTAATTTGGTTTCTGTAAGTTCCAGCAGGATGGCTGCAGGGCACAGCACAGACTGGCATGGGTGCAAGCGGTGGGGTGGGAGCTGGAGCCCCAGCTTGTGTTTTCACAGGGGTTGCTGCAGAGCTGAGTACTTGCACACATCCCTTGTTAACCGCTCATTTTCTTGGACAGTCTGCTTAGTGTTGTCATCACCTGAAGCTGACCACCTCTTCCTCTCTGGTTCCTCAGCTAGGCACATTCAAGTCTGATGATGGGGACTATTTCGTCGAGCCACTGCTATCGCTTGAGGAACAGGAGTATGAAGAAGAGCACAATAAGCCACATCTAGTCTACCGACACCGGACGCCTCCCACGAACTCTTCAGGGGACAGGCAGACTTGTGATACCCCAGGTACTCATCTTGTTACTGCCCTTGATGACTTGGTGCTTACAAAAGGGAACTAGTTGGCAGTAAAAAGCCAGTAGGTTTATGTGGGGCAGAAGGGCTATGGAGTTGAGGGACCCCTCTAGAAACAGTCCCTCATGTGCTAGGACCAGGCTTGTGGTGGTACTGCTGTCCTGGAGAGACGTGGTGTGCCTGTGCTTTCTAGTAACTGGTTAGAAGGAAGTTGTGGTCAGGGAAAATGTTACAGCTTCCGTTTCATCCCTGCTGTAAGGCTGGCAAGAGATCCTTTGGGTTGTCTTGCCTTAAATATCCCATGAGCCTCTAAACTTGCTTTCTGTCCTCTCCTACGTGCAATTCCTGACCATCCTAATCTGATTTGCTGTCTGTCTGAAGTTCTATTTCTGTCCTTTAAGTGACATCCTTTCTGTCTTTGGTCCTCCCCAAATCTGGTTGTGAGTTGCAATGCCTTATTTCTTTCTAGTGGAAATGAGAAGGTCCTGACACCAACCTTGATGGTTCTTCCCTTATTAATTACTCTTCCATGGTTCATTTTCAAAGGCTTTTTTTTTTTTCCTTGTGGCCCTTCCTCCACCAGTACTATCTCCCTGACCTCCTCACTCCCTCTTTCTAGTTTTTCCACATATGAAAGAGCACAAGCCCTTTTTATCTCCCCTTCACGTGCCTTGGTGAGCAATAGCCTTGCTCCTACTGTCCCTATTATCTGCAGTGGCCTCCTGCTGCTTTCTGCTTCCTTGACTTCCTGATTTTCACAACTAATCCTCTCCTTTGGCAGCAAATACCTAAGTTCTCTCTGAAGAAGCTTATTTCTTCAGTCTCCTGTTTCACCTGCTGTTTTGCCCTCCTCCCTTGGCCTGCAGCAGGATCTACAGGAGCTTTAAAGCCTAAACAGAGTAGACATTGACTGGCTTCCCTCTCGTGGGCTGCAGGCCACTCATGTGCTGCAAAGTAGGTGGAGTTGCTCAGGGAGTAAAGGGACCACTGGAAGAGAAGCATGGTGCCAAACTTAGACTGCATTTAGCACGTGTAACTTGTTTGGCACTTCAGACTGTGGATCGTGGCCATGCTGTTGAGCTGTCAGTCTGTTCAGCTTGCACTGATCAGCTAAGTCAGAAGATGCTCTGATGTTCTGTGACTAGCTAGAGCTGATGCATTAGCAACATGTGTTTCTTCTAGAAGACACATGGATACATGCCCACATGCAAACATACTTGATGGGGGACAATGGTACCTCTCACAAGGCTGTTGTTGTTTGTTCTTCCAAGGGTTGCTGCTGGACTATGCCATTCTGGTTTCTCTCTTCCAGCTGTTTCTGCTCCCTTCTTTGAGATCAGATGCAGGAGACTCAGAACAGTTGGAAAGAAACACGGAATCTGGCACATTGCATCAGTAGCCCTTGGAGGAACGGAGCAGCAGATCACAGGACTCATTGAATCAAAGGTAGCTGGGAGGGCTCTGACTTTCACTGGTGGACTTGACTCTGTGCTGTTGTAACAGTCTGCTGTGTTCCCCCCACTCTATCATGGTTTCCATTTAAGCTATTATTGTTCTGGATCATAATTCACAATAATAATACTCTGTCTGTACTATTACCTGCATGTTTCTTTCTTCTCTTTTCTAATGTGCTTTGCCTTTGGCTCATCTTTGTTCCCCTGCTCTTCTCAGTTGCTTCATGTAGTGGAGGGAGAAGGTCTCAAGCTTAAGGGTTCCAGATAGGTGTGATGGTCTTGTCCTTCTGTCCTCTTCTCCTTATCTCTCCCTTTTACCATTGTCAAAGTTTTTGAACAGGAATGATGCTTTGGTTATATGTGTATAGTGAACAAGTCTTGGTCACTTTATTTAAAGAGCAAGTGTAGGGCAGCTTGGGCAATGCTGAACCTTGGTGTTACCCCTGGGGTTATGTCTAGCAGAGGGGAGTTATCTCATGTGTCTTTGGAACAGAAGGGAAAACACAAAATATAGCAGTGCTCACTGTTTTTGACAGGGTGCATCTGTCACTCCTACCAGAGAAGAATGGTTTCTTGAGAGTTTAGGATTTTTTTTATAGCTGTAGGGTGTTGCTTGAATCCAGTCTTCTGTTGGAAGAATGTGTGACAAGGTACGTTTGCATTGCAGGCTTCTGGCAGGGATTGAAATTTGCTCAAAGAGGAAATTCATGCAAGGGAAATCTTAAGTACCCACCCTGCAGTGAGCAAGGGAGCTCACGTTGCTGGGCAGTGATGCTGTTAAGAATGGCTTTCTGATGGTCTTCTTCCTGGAAATGATTAATAAGCAAAACACTGGTATGCCCTTGCCATGATAATGTAATTATAGACTTCTTGAAGTATCCAGGAAAAGTTTCCCTTGTGAGCTGACTGACAGACTGAGTAAAAGCTTTCATTTCAAGTGGTCCCCTTGGTGTTACTTTTAGCTTTCAGCGTCCTCAGGTCAGCTTAGAAAAGCAGACATTTTACTTTAAGTTTTAATTAGCAGCTAACTGATAACAGTTTTAGGTCCTCTGACATGCAAGACACTCTGCAGATGTCCTGAAAAACGATCTTTCTCCTCCGAATGCTGATGGATATCAAATATGAGCTGTGCTCTGCATTTGAACTTTCATAGCAAACGCCAGGGTCTCCTGGCAATGCGCTGCAGCCGTCTGCTGTATAGCTCAGCCGCCGCAATAAAAACTTTTGACAAAGTTTTCCTTGGGGTAACAGGTTAATGTAGTTTCAGTCATAGGAAATGGTGCAATTTCTCCTCCTTCCCTTCTTTTGGTTATTACCGTGAATCAATTTGTCATCTGGTGGAGGATCTGGCAGAGTAATTAGCTGTGCTGTACTGAATAGCCCTGATGGGATGAGGAGCTGGCCGGGCGGCCGGCGTGATGTCACTGGGTGCAGCAGCACTACCACCCATCGCTGCGCGGCAGCGAGCTCTTCCCATCCAAGTGATTAAATATCCGCTTTTTGGAGGTGGAGGAGGAAGAGAAAAGAAGTTCTGATACTAAAAAAAGGGAGAAAAGGAAGCGGCTCAATGCAGAGCTGGAGAACAGGGCTTTCCTGCGCCCCGCAGAGGAACCATCTGACTCGGATGATAAAAGGCACATAGCTGCATCCTGCGGCACCGCGGGGAGCTGCGCCCGCCGGGCCGGCCAGCAGCAGCTCTCGGACCCCCAGTCCTCTCTGACCTCCTGCCAGGAGCAGACCAGCGAGCCCTACCCACTGGTTTCCATGTGAAACCCCAAGGGTTTGGTCTTGGAGAGAGAAGTCCAGTTCCCGATGCCAACTGGATGCTGCCTCTGGTCATCATCACCTAAATAAACTTCTCCAGGCTGCCTCTTGCTCTGCATCTTGTGTCCCTTTCTGCTGCCTCTCCCTTCTCTCATGTTTCCCATGTTTTTTCATTGATATATTTTCATGTATATTTTGCTTGTTGGCTTTTCTGGAGCTCCTCTTTTCCGGTTTTATTGAGTTTTGTGATAGCTTTAATGTTTTACTGAACCTTAGCCAACCATTCTGCCTGTTGGCCACCCCTTATAACAGATGTGGCCTCCACTTGACTGGTGGCACTGAGCCACAGTTGCTCTGTGGCCACAAGTATAAATGCAAGAGTTGGGCTTTCTAATCTCCCCACCTCTGCTGCATGCTAAGCTATTTCATTGCTCCAAACTTTTGTAAATGCCTTGCAGCTTCTTCTGTGACCCTGGTGCAGGAATCCTGAATGAACTTTTTTGGATAGCTCTTTCTTTGTTCCCACTGTGCTCACTTTTCTACTCTCCTGATCTGTGCTTTCCATTTCCTTCCCAGCTTCATTACTTAAACCCCTCCCTGTTGTTGCCTCATTTTTCATAATTCTTTTATATTCAAGACTCGTCTGTGGCTGAGTTGTATAAATCAAGGACTGACTATATAGCAAGCACTAGCTGTTCCCATGGCTTCTTGCTGGTGAGCCATGCCCATCCTGAGGCTGGTGCTAGACTTGGGCTCTGAAGCTGTGTGTGAGGATCTTGCACAAAGTCCTGGCTCCTTAATGAGGGTGCTTAAAGCAGGAATATCTACCACGGGTGAAACTCCTCATGCAGAAGCAGCAGCAATGCTCCGATGGTGCCAAACTAGTAGGAAGATGATTAGAGCTTTTTCTGTTTCTGGAGGAGAGCCAAGGGGCTGTAGCCAGCAAAGAGGCCTTCCAGCAGTTTGCACTGAGGTGGTGAGATTTTGGAAGCTGGCTCAGATGAGTGCAGGACAGAGCAGATCTTACCTGTGCAGAACTGGCTGTGCCTCCACCCACTGCCAGCAGAGGTGGGGAAGTCTGGTGACACAGCTGCTGAGGTCACTTTCCAGAAACCAGCAAGCATTACCAGCACAGGTGGCTGCTAGGCACTGCCTGGGGGCTTAGCACCTCCCAGTACCTGCCAGAAATGGAGGCAAAACGGTCTCAAAGTTGCAACTGGTTATTTAGTTGTGAGGCATTAAATCTATTCTGGCTCCCTGAGAGGCAGCATATCTGCAGCCAGGCAGAGCAGCTCCAAAAAGGCAAGGCCCCTGTACTCACCCAGGGGAGGGGGAGAAAAGAAGTTGTGTCTAAGTTGCGTTGAGAAGGTTGCTACAAAAAGTACAAGGCAAATCACCAGGGTGGATCAAGTCTTGCCAGCAAGTTAGCATGACACAGGTATAATCAGTAATGTGTCACTGATTTTAAAATGTCATTAATGAGTGGTTTGTAATAGATTACCCTTTCACAGTAACTTTTAACGACCCTTCCCACTGAAGGTGACACTGGGGAGCCACCAGAGCAGATGAGTGCTGCCCTGTGTCTTGAGAGAGCAGATGCCTGGTGCTGCCAGCTCGATGATTGTGATCTTGTTTTCACATGATAATTAGCACCAGCCCTCTTAGCCCTTACAGATGGTTGTCATTTCTTTCCCAGTGCCACCCAGCTGCATGGGGAGCCATTGGTGAATCCACGGCACAAGCAGGAGATGGTTCTGCTGCTGTATTCCCATGTGT